AGTGTATAATTTATTCGTAAGAGTATTAGTAATACTTGATGCTAACTACTCTTTAGTGGTTAAGTACATTCTAATTTCAGTAGTTGAGATCATAAGTCAATTGAAGCTAGACCACCATCGAAAACATGGGAGCACTGGACAGTTGTTTCGTCCTATTGTGAGAATCCTCAGCAGTGCGCATCCACGATCCCACCTTGCGGGGTTCGAACCCAGGACCTATTAGTCTCATGCGCTTAACCACCAAACCACCGGCATCCAACGGTATTGATGTCCAATTTCAACCACTCCACAAAATTGAGTGATACATCTACCATTGTCATAAGTGAGTTACTATCTCACAACTGACCCGGTTGAACTCTACTGTTCACTACTTCTCACTAGAACTCTAGGATATACATCTTGAAGCTAGTCACTAGTGGGCATTGCTGAGGAGTCGCATAATAGGACAAAACGGCCGTCCAGTGCTTCCAGGTTTGCCATGATGGTCTAGCTTCAGTTGACTCATGATGTCAACTATTGAAATTACTACAATCTCTACAAAACCCCTTCTGATACATTCTAATTATTCGTTTCATAAAATCAATTTCGTTTAGAAACATCTCACTGATTTATACCATAATTCTTATTAATAAAATGCAATAAGGAACTCGAATTATCGAAGCTGTTTTTAAAATAAATTAATTAACTAAGTAATTATCTATGTTATGTATAGAATGAAAATTTATACTTACAATGTTTATATACTAAAAGTAGACAGAAATAATTAACCAAAAGGTTTCAAGTACATAGTATGGTAGATTTTGAATAATCCATTTCTTTACAACTTCAAATTTAGTAACTTCTAAAGTATATAGTACCTCAAAATGTAAGTAGAGGAAAGCTATTAGATAGTTTTGTTTCATCTGTTGACAAACTATTGTAAGTGTTAAATCATGCCTTTATGTTTAGTTTATTAGATAGAAAGTGACTATCAAGATGACTAAATAGCTTGTGTAGTAAAATAGAGATTGAGCAGTTTATTTCACTGATATTTTGTCTGATTCAATCAATTTAAGTAAAATATAAACATAAACTATGTGGTTATTAGTTAGAATTTGTAATCTATTTGAAAGAGTAACGACATTCGATCCGGATTCAAATACGGAAAGTTAACTGGTAATTTAAATCCCTTTATTAAACTTGACTTTATTAACCATATATATATATATATATATATATATATATATATATATATATATATATATATATATATATATTACACATTTCAAATCATGTTTTTAATGATTCATTAATGGTTACTATTTCAAGATTGGCGGTAATAGGGAAACTACTGTTTTTCAGTCTAGTTAACTAAGTTTAGTATAGTAATAATAATGATAATTACTACTCAGACAGTCCTAATATCAAAAACTGGTAAACTTCATAAAGTGAATCTTAATAATAATATTTAATGATCTGCCTAATGACCAAATGCCAAAATATGATGGATAACCAATCTATATGATTAAAATGAAATAGAGTAAAAATCGTTAATTGTTTGTTCTATTTTTCCTATACAATATATGAAATAAAAGGCAGCACAAAAGAAAAACTAGAAGCACATATTTCAGACTGTAGAACAAAATAAAAGAATTTACATTATCCACCAGCTAGTTTTTAAGATAACATTTTGTCTTGTTTGCACTACTGGTTATAATTTCTGTGTTTTTTAAAAAAAACAAACAAACAAAGAAACAGAGACTAAAAAATATCAAGATAATGACGATACTTGTAATGATGACAATGATTTATTATTACTGAAAACGAACATATTCATTTAATTTTAAATCAAGAATATATTTATATCCATGTTACATGAAATATTCTGAATACGTAATATTCATTAAACTGAAAAGGACAAATTCTAGACTATCAATATAATGTTCAAACCTAAATATTTTACTATGTAAAATCAATTCAGTTTACATATAAATTTCATTAACTGTTATGTTTGGTCGTCGCAGTTGTTATATCTAGTCGTCGCTAATAATTGTGCCGAGAAACGCTGATCACTTATTCTTGGACGAGGGACCTTTGCAATTCCCACGACTCGAAAGTAAGAACATAAAGACTGGTATAAGTGAAGATTTATTAACCCCATAACACTATGACGACGACGACGATGATGACAGTTATGATCGTGATGTTCTAGTAGAAAATACACTCATTTACATATTGACTGTACACATATTTTGATCAATAGTTAGGAGGAAATCACATATATAAAAAATACTCAGAGTTATAACAAATCACATACGGAGCATAGTTCATGTCAATGGAATACAAGAATATCGCATATTATACAGGATAAAATATTATACGAGAAAAGAAAACAAGTACTACATTGGGTATTGTTAAACAGGATGAAGGACTCCGTAGACGCCCAACTTCGAGACCAACAGGCAGGATTCCGTAAGGATAGATCGTGCACAGACCAAGTCGCAACTCTACGGATCATTGTGGAACAATCAATTGAATGGAATTCATCACTCTATATCAACTTCATCGACTACGAAAAAGCATTTGATAGCGTGGACAGAACAACCCTATGGAAGCTTCTTCGACACTACGGCGTGCCTCAGAAGATAGTCAATATCATACAGAATTCCTATGATGGATTAAACTGCAAAATCGTTCATGGAGGACAGTTGACAAAGTCGTTCGAAGTAAAGACCGGTGTCAGGCAAGGTTGTTTACTCTCACCCTTTCTCTTTCTCCTGGTGATCGACTGGATCATGAAGACATCAACATCTGAAGGGAAGCACGGGATACAGTGGATAGCTAGGATGCAATTGGATGATCTAGACTTTGCAGATGATCTGGCTCTTATATCGCATACACAACAACAAATGCAGGAGAAGACAACCAGTGTAGCTGCAGCCTCAGCAGCAATAGGTCTCAATATACACAAAGGGAAAAGCAAGATTCTTCGATACAACACAAGATGTACCAATCCAATCACAATTGACGGAGAAGATTTGGAAGATGTACAAACCTTTACATATTTGGGCAGTATCATCGATGAACACGGTGGATCTGATGCAGATGTGAAGGCACGGATTGGCAAAGCAAGAGCAGCATATCTACAACTGAAGAATATCTGGAACTCAAAACAATTAGCAACCAACATGAAGGTCAGAATTTTCAATACAAATGTCAAGACAGTTCTACTGTATGGCGCGGAAACCTGGAAAACTACGAAATCCATCATCCAGAAGATACAGGTGTTTATTAACAGTTGTCTACGCAAAATACTTCAGATCCACTGGCCGGACACTATTAGCAACAACCTACTGTGGGAGAGAACAAATCAGATCCCAGTGGAGGAAGAAATCAGGAAGAAGCGCTGGAAGTGGATAGGACACACATTGAGGAAAACACCCAACTGTGTCACAAGACAATCCCTCATATGGAATCCTCAAGGTCGAAGGAGGAGAGGAAGACCAAAGAATACATTACGCCGGGAAATGGAGATAGATATGAGAAAAATGAACAAGAATTGGATGGAACTAGAAAAGAAGGCCCAGGACAGAGTGGGTTGGAGAATGCTGGTCGGCGGCCTATGCTCCATTGGGAGTAACAGGCGTAAGTAAGTAAGTAAGTACATTGGGTAATCATTACATTGAATCAAAACGGCAGTAATCTTGAACAAAACTCATAATGAGTAAATCAATCGAAAATTGACTTTTCTTTTCATCATATTATTAAAAATATACATTGAAATGTTAATTTTTATCCAATAGTTTGTAAAATCATTCCAAGAACTGATGGATATTTTAAATAGTTGAGATCATGAGTCAATTGAAGCTAGACCACCATAGAAAACCTGGAAGGATTGAACAGCCGTTTCGTCCCACTGCGAATCTCTTCAGCGGTGCTCATCCACGATCTCGCCTCGCGAGATTCGAACCTAGGACCTATCAATTAACTCATGACCTAAACTAGTAGAATTACTATGATATTTACTAAAACACCCGTTCTGATATTAATTGATAAAGATGTCCTGTCATTTACCCTGAGACATCATTATGTTATATTTAGAAAATATTTCAAAATTAAATTTATATGTACCTGTTATTAGGAACAAAAGCTTAGTTGATACTTACAAAGTAATAAAGAGTCAAAAGCAAAATGTCTTCCTTAAACTAATAAATAATAAGCATCGACAAGTAAATTCAGATTTAAAAAACTGAGGTATTTTCACTTATATGTGAAAAATTATGATAAGTAATTATAAATTAGTAATGAGTATTATGAATTAAGCTAAACTGTTACACTAGTTCTACCGACCAAGTTTTTAATATGATCATTAGTTTAAGTAATGAATTTCATCTAAATAAAATTGCTTGCCATCAATAATTATGTAGTCTGATACTGAAGTATTTAGTGTTCATAATACAATTAACAATAAACGTTAGTTTTTAATCAGAAAGACTGTGATATTGCATGTCCAGAAAAGCGCCTAGTGACAATGACTATGTTTGAATATCATTTTCTTTTGGTTTATATGTGTCTTAAAAAGATATATTATTGAATATAGATTGTAGACTTAAAAATTCTAGAAAGAAAAAATGCCGTAAACCATCTGGTATGATTTTTATGAAATGTAGATCATTTTCGAGTAAGGAATATCATCTAATGTTACTTAAAACATAAATTAAATAGATCAACTATAAAGAATTGAAAATCATTAATTCAAACTGTATGTATATGTATGCTGCTATAAACTTGTTCAAAATTACATATATGTTTAATAATAGTTAGACTTAATATCATCATTTGATTAATTACAGTTTTATCAAAACTAGTTTGGGAATTTTTTCAAAGAAATTATTTTCTAGTATGATTACTCCATGAAATTAGTTAATATAATAAACCATGGAAACAACTAACACACTCTTAAAGATAAAATAAAAATATTGGTACCGTATAGTTAAAACAATTATGATTGTAAAACTTACTTGTCTATATACTCTGAATATTCAATAGGAGAGAAAGAAAGGTTTTGTAATTTATTTGAAATCTGCTTTTTAATTCCAGAAAATTGATTAGAAATTGAAATTGATTTTAATGTATCATTAGTTATTGGTTGTATATCAGTTAAATGATTATCAGCTAATTGAATTGGAATATGACGTATTGTAGTTGGTAGTGATGAAAAACTTTCACTTTTATTTATTATCGGTAAAAAAATAGAAGTACTAAAGGCAGATGTTGAAGCAGTAAGCCGAGATTTGCATAAATTATTACTTTCTATATTTTTTTCAGTTTGTTTTGATGAAGGTGGACGTATACTTAAAATAGTTTCACTTCTTGTAACTCTTTCTCGACTCCAACAACGTATAACTTCTTTTCTTCGTGTTTGCCTTGATGGTGATCGATTTTCACTATTTATAGGATCTTGAATTCGAATATATGTGTTTTTACGATGTTGATGTAAACTATATACCGAATGAACTTCTTGTTTTGAAATTGTACCAGGTAGAGATCGGTCTCTAAGTTCAAGTACTCCGTTTACAGATAATTTACGATCAATATGGTCATTACTAGAGCTTATATCTGACCTCGATACTCGACCATTTAGATTTGGTTGAGATGTTGTAGTTGGTGAATCCAAACAATATCGCGATAGATTTTTATTTGTGGCACATATTTTTTCAGAATTATTAAAACATAGTGGGGCAGTTAATGTACGAATAGCCTTACGACCTTGAGTTGAACGGTATGGAGATTCAAGCATTGAATATTCTTGATCTGTCTACTTTAATTTTGCCTAAACTTACGATTGTAAATTAAAGTATAATTTCCTGAATAATAATATGTCATGCACCTAAAAATGATCAGGGTCTTTCATAGAAGTACAGAAATTAATGTCAATATTTTTACAGAAACAACTGTAAGCACAAAGTTCACTTTTCCTTAGACGAATGTCCTTAAAAATGATTTTCGATTATTTTCCATCCAGTTACAATTAACCACTCAGTAATGTTCTTGAAAATGCGTTGTAAAACGGGTAAATAAAAGTTACCTATCAAATCAAAAATATTGAATGAATTATTGGTTATTTTAAAATTGACCAATAACATTTAATGTTTAGACATACAAACTGTATTACAGAAAAATTTTGTGACTACTCGTTTTACTTCTTACATTGGCAAAACTAATGTGAAACACTGTAATAACGTCAAAGGATACATGATGTCTTCTCAAAAGTTTAAACGTCTTTTATAAGACAGGCTGTAAGGAAAACAATTACGTTTCTAAATATTACTGCTAGTATTTGACTAGGTAATTTAAAATTTATTGAGTACTGAATATTTTGTAAATAATGGAAATAATACAGTTATAAAGTTGAAAGACATGTAAAAATGAAACCTTTAATGATTCCCGACATCATAGAAAAAGTCTTACAGATATATATATATATATATATATATATATATATATATATATATATATATATATATATATATAAACCACGGTGTTTGCACAGTGTTACCAGAATGTCTGTACAATAATGTCTCTGATTGTTACATCTTTAGAAGAAAATTTAAATATTTGAAATAGCATTGTTTTCGTCCAGGTTTTAAGCATGACATGTTGGTGAACGCAGATATACTCATGAGTGAAATTTAAAACTTTCGATTAGGTGCCTTCTACATCTAAATACTGGTAGCAAGCTCACTATTACTACTAAATTACCTGAGGAAGGCGAAACAATAAAATAATAGACAAACAAGTAATCTTGTGGCAAATTAAAAATAATCCCACTCTGATTTTATTGAATACTATTTTCATGTATTTCATTTAAATGTATTGCAAACAAATTCGTCAATGCGATTTTTTTCGGAAAAATGAAATCTTCACTTGAGCTGATTTTATGTTCAAAACTCTGGTAGTTCAAAATCTTCAATCATACCCACTGGAATATGAAGTTCAAAGTGATTTACTAAGCTATAAACTACTGTGTTTGTAAGAGTTACTTCCTCTAATTCAACTTCAAAACGTGATGACCCGTTAACTGTGTGTATTTTTAGTAGGTTTATTATCTAAGTATCATTATGAATTCATTTTAAAATATTCAGAAGCCAGAATATCAGCTGCGTTGAAAAAGCGTTTACTGTTAAGAATTAATTAAATTGACAAGTACGTGATAACCAAGTAGACTTGGGAGTAAGTGAAGAAGAAGAATGTATGTGTATAATTTTGTGTTTTTTTAATGACTGCAAATCAATACGGGATTTGTTGTGTGGTCTGTGTTTACAACCAATAATAGGACAAATGAAGAAAAGGATGAAGACATGCATTCAATCAAACTGGCACATTTGTTATAATTTCCTATAGATTTAACAGTAGATTAACCTTATTGTTTTACTAAATTGACACAGAATATGTATTGAGCTAGCTTAGAAGAATGAATTACACTGCATTCACCGTTTTAATAAACATTAACATTGTTAAACCAAACTGCTTTCTTTAACAGATGTTAATGTGTTGAAATAGCTTACTAACGTGAATTATAGAAGGGAAAATAAAAATTCTATAAATCACAGATCAGATTGATGACTGGTGTTTGTGGCAAATATTATTCAGTAATTATTCGTCTGATAAAGGTTTTAAATAAATAGTTAATCATTACCAGCAAGACCTATGGTAGGTAGTTAAAGTAACTCTCTTACAATTATGAACTAAAACTCAGTGGGATGTCAACCAATTTACTGTTTAATACAAAATTACATAATATCTTCCTAAAATATAAAAACCATACATTAAATACTTTATTTTCGAGTCCTCCGTCAACTGTATTTCACATTCTGTATGATTCTTGCAATTCATAATTCCTTTTTCTTTTCTTTTCTGTCTTCTTCAAATAGATCTTCCTAGCTTTCTGTTACCAGGTTTTCCACTTCCGACTGGTGTTACATGCTGCTTATGCCTGTCAACATCAGCAGCATGCACCACACTCTAACAAACATTAGGTAGAAAACAACTATACAAACACCTTAATTACTATTACAGTTTTCATTTTAGTTATATATTAGAATGATCTACGCAGCCAGATTCGAGTTAGTTCACATTATATTCATTGAGATATTGAAAAATACATTATTGAATGAAGGGATCATTTATTTGTATTGAGCTCTTAGTTTACGAAATGCATGATATATGGTTGTTGATATTACAAACCTACAATGCATTTCAAGTTCTAAATTAATATCATCAATTTCTTTGTTGTTTATATCACCGAGCTGACTTTCAGGAAGTGGCGTCAGATAATCTAAAATCAATGTCACCTTTAAAAATAAATTCTTATGCACGACATGAATTACAGCGTTACTTACTGGCTCAGACCTCTAGGAATTCAGTCGCTAATAAATATTAAGTGTTCAGTTAGTTCTGTTATACTTTAAAAAATATAAATGTTAATAATGCGCCAAAATTCTACCAGTTCATTCATCAAATAAACTGTGCACTGAAACGGTTTTCCATAACAACGAGTTTTATCATCCCTATGTCACCAGCTACCGTCATAGTGAATACTACTTCTGATGTGTTATATTAAAGAATAAAGAATATTTGAGCGAACAATTGTTTTCAATAACTTCATCATCAGGCTCTACAGTTATAAGTCCATAATTATTGTGATATTTTACAAAGGCCAAAAATAAAGCATGTATTAATGAAATTTGACAATGTTATGTGTTAAAAAAAAAATTGGTGCACTTTTGCATCTGTTACGATATATATATATATATACTTCAAAATGGTATTATTTGCAAATGAGAAAGGTCATTCAATAAAGGTCAAGCTGATTTGGAGTAAAGTGTTCAATCGAAATAAGTAGAATAGTATTATAGCAAAATCGAAAAAAAAATTGTGTGAATAGAACGCATAGTAAGAGAATTTCATCTCGTCAATTGAGATAATAATAATAATAAGATTGTGGTGTGAATATAATATGTAATAAGGGGGTAGGGGGTGTTATCAAGGTAACTACGATCAACGAATTGGGAATGATAGATGTGAAGATTAAGATAGGGATAATCAAAATTAATGATAATAAGGAAAATAAATAAAATTAGAGGAAGGGGGTAAGAGGTTTAAAATATTCAGACTAGGTATTCGGTGATCCAGTCGTAGGCCAAGGTAAACATAGAGGCTGGATATATTTTTTCTGGATACATAAATTAGGTCTTCTAGAGTTGATCCAGATGGCTTCGGCTATGTAAAGTAGACGTAATCTAGCTCCTTGAGGTAGATATTTTGGAACTTGATATAAAACAGAGAAAGCTTCCTCTATTTTGATATGATGTTCATTATCTACCAAGTGTGAAAGAATAGCACTGTTAATAGATTTAGTAACTCCTTTTCCCAACCATGTTCACGAACACGCAAGGATAAAGCCCTCTGAGTACGGCCTATGTAACTAGCTCCACAGGAGCAGTTGAATTGGTATACACACATGGAGGAGCCCATCTTCGGTAACCTATCCTTGATTAGTTGTGTGAGTACTGGTTTAGTCGAGAAGATTATGTGTAACTTGGCGGCATGAAACGTCCTTTCGACCGATCTTTTGAGTCGGCGTGTTAAAATATCACCCGCTATATCCCTTTAAAGTCAAGTCTCAGATACAAGGTCTTTTTTCTGACTGTTTCACAATGTCTTCTTTTCTTATTACTTTGTACGAGGTATTTTTTGACGAAATTATCAGGATATCCATTATCTCGTAATGTATTCTTTAATATATCTATTTCGTCATCTACACTGTCTTCAGAACATAATAAATTGATTCTGTGGTTGAGACACTTAACCAAATTTATTTTATATTCAAGGGGTGTGAAGCTTTGGAAATGGGTATACTGACCCGTCCATGTACTCTTTCTAAATATATTTCGCTTTATGGAGCCATCTATCCTTCTAGAAAGTAGGACATCCAGAAAAGATATACTATTGTCTTTCTCCTCCTCGCTAGTGAACTTAATGGCTGGGTGGACATTATTGAATTCGTCTAATATCGCCTGTTTGTCGATATTTTCGTCGCATATGATCAGTGTGTCATCTATATATCGACAATAATAATCAAGCTTACTTAGGATGTCTTACAGCGGTCCATTTTCTAGTTTTGTCAGAAAAATATTAGCAAGCATCGGGCCTAGAGGTGATCCCATTGCTATCCCATCTATTTGTCTGAAAAATTCATTGTTAAACTTAAAGTAGGTATTCATAGTGCATTTCAACAGAAGTTCTTTCATTTTACTTATTGGGATAGGTATATCTATTTTCTTTTCTAACAGTTGTTCACATATGTAATCGATAGTTTCAGTCAGAGGGATGTTAGTAAACAAGGATGTTATGTCTAGTGATAGCATGGTTTTGCCATTTAAATTCATATTTTTAATGGCATCAACAAATTCAAAGACGTCTTTGACATTATGCTTAGCAAGTTCTTGGTGCAATGGCTCTAATAACTTAACTAGCCATTTTGCTGTTGAATGGTATGGTGAATTTGCCATATCCAGAATCGGGCGTAAAGGAACTTCAGGTTTATGAATCTTAGGTAGACCATAGAGACGAGGGGTATGTGTTCCAAAAGGCTTGAGCGCGTTATAAGTGTGCTCAGAGATGTATTAATGTTGTTTTAGAAATTTTAATGCTGTAGATAGTTGACGTTCGGTCTTTTCATTGAGGTCTTTACCTGACCCCAGCTTTTGGAATTTAGTTTGATCACTCAGCAGGGAA